CGAATGGAAAAATTGGATACTTGCCATGAATTTTTCATTAGAAGAAAAAGTCAATTCCAAATTGATAAAAATAAATAATTATTATGTGTATCATTTATATATACATCATGCACACACGTATACAGGATGTCCTAGAACTGGCGGAAAAGTTTTTAATGGCAGATTCCTGGTATCATTCGGAGACGATTTTTCCTCAGCGAAAATGTTGGGACACCAATAATAATTTTTGAATTATAAGCAGTTGAAAATAAAGGCTTTTTTTGGAAACAAAACCTTGTGGAAATAAAATATTAATAGAACTACATTCTTTAGTTAATTTTAGGTAGAATTTGCATTAATAGAATTTTAATATAAGCTTATATAAAGTTATATAAAGATACATAATAACAAAAATTGGGAATATGCTAAAAATGATGGCCTCCCTCAACATTTTCACTAATTGTAAGGAAAAATCATCTCCAAATGATACCAGGAATCTGCCATTAAAAACTTCCGCCAGTTCTGGGAAACCCTGTATATATTTATGTATATATACATAATTCAATTATAATTTTTCAATTATCAAATATGTATATATTTATGTATATATACATAATTCAATTATAATTTTTCAATTATCAAATATGTATATATTTATGTATATATACATAATTCAATTATTATTCGACATTATTTTGAAAATTTGATTTTATATTACTGACTTCTAAATATCGTTTGCGAACGCATCACAATAAGAGTTAATTAAAATAGTTCAATATATATAATTATACAATAGTATACATAAAACATGATTAAGCTAAGCAAAAATGTAGAAAATATAGTTTTTCAATATAATCGAAATAAATAGCGACCTAATAAGTTCAATTAAGTAACATTTAAGGTACATTAATATTAATGTTTAAATAACATTAAATATATATATATATATAATATAAATAACATTAAATGTTTGTTGAACATTAAATTCGCCACATTTTATTATGTCGCGAACATTAAATTTGCTCTTCTTAACTTTTTAAAATTATAATATATATATATATATATATATATATATATATATATATATGTGTGTGTGTGTGTGTGTGTGTGTGTGTGTAAAGTGGACAAGATAAAAACGTTACACATTTTTATCTTCAAAAATATTATTTCTAAAGAAAAATGTTTCAAATAAAAATGATCTTTAAATGACCTTGAAAATCGCTTTTTAAGAAAAAGCATCATCTTCTTTTCCTCTCAAAATCCTACACCTTTATTTAAGACATTTTTCTTTAGAAACAAGAAAAATTTGTTAACGCTTTATTTTGTCCGCTCTATATATAATTATATTTTTCCATATATTTTAAGGATATAGATATATATATCAAAGTTTTAATATTTGCAATTGTACTAACGCAGACTGACTTAGTTCGCTAGAACTTCTGCGTGATATGGTTTGCTTTTAAATGGTCCGTGAAATATCTGACATGGTCAGTTGAAATTGCGTTGTTATAAGGCCCTAAACACACCTTAAAAAATTATCTTCATTATAATAGTATTTGGCAGTAAGGATAATATAAAATTACAGTCCCTTTAACTTGCCTTAACTTATTTGTATATAGAATGATTACAATAAATCTGTATTTCACAACCCTCTAATTCTTTACGGCGTGTTTACATACAATTATAAATGAATACATCGAGACCATGCATCAATTATTACGAGATGTTATTTATATTTGCTAAGTACTTATACACATAATTTTTTGTTGCAGTATTTATTCTACAATATTATTTGTAGTCAAATATAATAAATTGCATATACGGGGTGATTCATTTTAATCGCCCCGGACAAATATTTCGAAAACTGTGAGAGGTACAAAAAATGTTTTTTGACTTCCAGGGGGATATAAGATGGTGTCATTGATTTGATTTTGTATAATCATTTGAAAGTCACCTTCAATTTCTTAAATAGAACATACTAATTTTTATTGCATATTCTTGTAGTTTATCTCGAGATTTTTCCAAACCCCTATAATAAAGTATTTTTTCATGAAATATTTTTTGAATTATAAAGGTTTGAAAGCTAATGACACCGTCTTATGTCCCCCTCGAAGTCAAAAAACTTTTGTTTGAAACATTTATTTGTATCTCTCATAGTTTTATTTGCCTAGGGCAATTAAAATGAATCATCCTGTATAAAATCAAAGTTACAATCTATCGAATGGAAGGATTGATTTTGAATGTACAAAGTCTATCAAACGATTGATAGTAGTAAAGGCAATACACAGCTTTTTTTCTAGGAACACAGTACATTATTATATGACTTTCATGTAATTCGATGTACTAGAGATAATTTCTAAGATGCAGTAAGCAACCTTAGAGCAAAGAAAATTGCACATTTAATACTTCTATATTATCTACAATAATGTATTGAAAGATCAATGATAATTACACATATACATATATATCGTTCGTTATAGAAAATTAAGAGCATCAATATAGTAATATAATGTAAAGTTCGATAAAAACACACATTATTGTACAGTAAAATGCATAATTGCTTAATTTACTAAAAAATTTAACTATTTAGGCCACACATGCGAAATTAATTTCGCATATTATGAGCATACAAGCCCGTGTGATATTTCGATTCTAAGTCAAAACTTGAAGAAGATATCTTGTAGCTGTAGCTTAAATTTTTGTATTGCAAGAGAAGACCCCATTGAAGATTATAATTATTATATTATAATCTATATTTAATTATATTTATTATATATATATACAATAATGATTTATGTTATATATGTATTATATACGTATATATTATATATATACATATATATGTCCCACATAAAAATAATGGGGTAAAATCATCAAAAAATGAATATTTTATGAGATATTTTATAGTTAATGTAAAATTATGTCACATTAAAGTACAAAATATCTCGTAAACTGTTTACTTTTTGGTCATCCTACTCTTCAAACTTTTTATGCTAAATATTGCAAAGATTTATATGCAAAAATTAGTGGTTCCATTTTTAAAAAATGAGGAAGCCCTCCCTTTTGTTTCTAAGGCTCCTCACCGACCATGTTGGAATTGTAACGTCAGAGGCGAGAAAACACGCTAAAAATTCTTAGATACCATAATAATCGAAATATCTTTTTATTTAAAAATGGCATCTAATAATTTTAAACGCGTGCTTTCCCGCCTTTGACGCCATAATCTAACATGACCGCGGCGAGGACTCAAAGGGGACTCAGGAGTAAAAAATCGCCAACATTTTTTTATCCATCAAATTTTCAGGCACCTTGTCCCATTTAATTAAAACAAATCAAGTTAATCTTGAGCAGTAGCGGAGAAAACAGCTTGTAATTTTTTATGCGGGCCCCCCCTTATATAGATTATAAGAAATTATATATATATATATAGGGTGTCCCTAAAGTCCGTTACCACCTCTAATATTTCGGAAATGAATCAAAATTTCGAAAAATCGCAAAACACGTGTTTGATCATTTCAAGGAACTATTCTTTTAAGGGGGGTCGCCCCTCAAGAGAAAAAATGCTGTTGATTCAACTAAACGTCGACGTTACGGGCTGCCATCAACATATGCATTTGATTCATCAGTATTTTGTTAATTCAATGACATTATTAATCAAATTAAGATGTCATGCTTTTGTTTATACTGACGTACTGATGAATCAACTGCATATGTTGATGGCAGCCCGTAACGTCACGTTTAATTGAATCAACACACACACATATATATATATATATACACATACTATATATATATATATATATATATATATATATATATATATATATATATATATATACATACATATATATATATCAAGTCACGGCTTCAGCCGTGGGCAATGACTTTGAACGCGGCTATTCTCGCACCGTGCCGTTGCAAGATGGCGGCGTGTGATCGGCCACCTCGCGCATAGAAAACGCGCACAAAGCCACTTTGCCTGCATTTATAATACAAAATATCGTGTGTATCAAGTGCGGATTGACAATTGTTCACTCGTGTGGGGTGGTCGCACTCGCCTTCGGCTCGTGCGTTCATCCCCCGCACTCGTGATCAATTGTCAACTTTCCGCACTTGATACACAATATACTATTTCATTAAGTATTTTTAGAGTTATGAGACTTAAAAGTTACGAAAGTTATGAAAAGTTATGAAAAAATATTTTCTTATAGTGTTTTGGAAAGCTCTTGAAATAAGCGATAAGAATATGTAATAAAAAATAGGAGGTCTCATTTAAGATTTTCAAGAGGGGTCGCCCCCCTTAGACCCCCTTGAGGGGCGACCCCCTCCGACCCCCTTAAAAGAGTAGCACCTTGAAATGATCGAACACGTGTTTTATGAGTTTTCCAAATTTTGATTCATTTCCGAAATATTAGGGGTGGTAACGGACTTTAGGGACACCCTGTGTGTGTGTGTGTGTGTGTGTGTGTGTGTGTGTGTGTGTGTGTGTGTGTGTGTGTGTTGATTCAATTAAACGTAACGTTACGGGCTGCCATCAACATATGCAGTTAATTCATCAGTACATCAGTATAAACAAAAGCATGACATTTTGATTTGATTAATAATGTCATTGAATTAACAAAATACTGATGAATCAACTGCATATGTTGATGGCAGCCCGTAACGTCGACGTTCAATTGAATCAACAGCATTTTTTTCTCAGTATATATATATATATATATATATGTATATATTAGAAATTACATATATATAGGGTGTCTTATAATTTGCGAATCACCTTTCATGTGCAGATAGAGCATGTTAAACTAAATAGAAAAGTCCTGTATCATTTTGCGATATTCGCAATAATTATTGATTTATTTATTAAAATATCTAAGCGAATAAGCGGGTAGAAAGCATTATCTGATCGAGAGGCGGGGTCATGCAGCGAGCGGCGAGCAGTAAGATGATACTTTTGATACTAAGCGGCATATAACAAATAAGCCATCCGACATGCCCACCGAGTCCGGCCTACCGCTTTCTACCCGCTCATTCGTTTAGATATTTTAGTTAATAACTCAATAATTATTACGAATTTAGCAAAACGGTACATGACTTTTCTATTCAGTTTAAACGTGCTCTACTTGTCCATGAAAGGTGGTCCGCGAATTATGGGACACCCTATATATATATATATATATTTGTGTGTGTGTGTGTGTATATAATTTCTTACAATTGTTTTAAAATTGTTCAAAATTTCAATATGTATTGCTAAACAATTGAGCATGAAACATCAAATGTTTGGCATGAAAATAATTATTCCAAGCTTGTACATTCCTCTTCTCCTTCAACACATGGTTTCGGAGGCGGGGGCAGGTACGGTACTTAAATTCTTGCCGTTCGCATCGGCCGCTTCCGGTCTCGCGAGCGTCTGTTCGATCTCGCGAGCGACGCTGATAGTCGGCTGCGGCCGGCGAGGGTCCTCCTCGATCGCGGAGGCTCGGCGCAACTGGCGATGCTCGCTGGAAACGTTGAAGAAGCAGACGACGGCTTCGTCGATCTGCACCTCGCTCGCGACACCAGCCGACGCTGCCACATCATCATCGTTCGCGCAGTAACGTCGCTGGATCAGGTCCTCCATCTGCTGGTAGTCGCACTCCTCGGCGTTGCGCAGGTGCTCGTTCTCGATCTGCCACGCCATCTCGGGATTCGACATCTCCGACATGCGCGAAGGCGGCGGCGAGATCGGCGGCGTCCTCGGGGGACTCAGCAGACCGCAGTAGCTCTCGAGCTCGTCGGTGATGCTCGTGTACTCGGCTCGCATCGTCAGCAGGATCGACCTTTGGGCACTGGCAGTCGAAGGGATCACGGCGACCCGGGGCTCCGCCCAGGTCACTCCTCTCTGGACATTGGAAGAGGGAGGCAGCAGTATGACGTCGTCCGATTCCGAGCGGGTCTTGCTGTTTTGCCTGCACGTGGTGCTACGCTCCGCGGAGTCCTGTCGGAACATCCGCTCGGCGGAATCCTGCCTGACGTCCGACGAGGCCGGGTACTCGCTGCTGGCCTCTTTACTGGTCTCTCGACTGACCTCCTTGCTCTGCTCCTTGCTGGTGGTCTCTACGCTAACCTCTCTGCTCACCTCTCTACTAGTGCTCATTCCTCTTTCGGACAGGATCTCCTTCTTGCTGCCGGTCGCTTCGCCCTCGAGTACATTTTTGCTGCCTTCTGTCTCCAAGCTTACGGTCGTCTTCACGTCGTCGTGGGCGTTTATACTCGCGGAGGAATCGTGTCTGCTGAGATTGTCGCGGGAAGTCACGATCTCAGATATCTTGTCGTCCTCCGTTAGGTGGCAGACGTTTAAGTAAGCGGCGTCGGTGAAGGAACGCAAAAATTTCTTGCGACGCGCGGACGTCGGTAGTTGCGTGTGAGAGTCTGTTTCGGAGAAGGCCTCCGAGCGTTCCGATATACGACGCTGCCGAACGTTATCCAGCGCCTCTAAGCCGGACAATCCCTCGTTGGGCATGTACGTCGCCATGAAACGATGAATTACTCCGAGATGAGCCACGGTCTGCTGACTCAAATCCTCCAATTTGCGGATACGGAACTCGACTGCCTAAATGAGAAGATAAAAATGTGGTAATTTTATATAATTAAATAATTTATATTTTATATTTACTAAATAATATTTATACAGGTATAATTACCGAAAAAAACTGAATATTTTACATTTTATGTCAAAAAATTGTTAACTTCGAATCTTTATAATTTAAATATACTCAAGGAAAAAAAATACTTTATTATAAGGTTTTGAAAAGCTCTTGAGATAAGCACAAGAATATGCAATAAAAAATAGAAGTTTATAATAAAGAAATTGATAGTGACCTTCAACTTCGAACCTTTATAATTTAAAAAGTATTTAATGAAAAAATATTTTATTATAGGATTTTGGAAAGCTCTTGAGATAAGATACAAGAACGTGCAATAAAAAATGGGGATTCATAATAAAGAAATTGATAGTGAACTTCACGTGACCTTCAACTTCGAACCTTTATAAGTCAAAAAGTACTTAATGAAAAAATACTTTATTATAGGAAACTTTATTATTTGGAAAGCTCTTAAAATAAGCTGCAAGAATATACAATGAAAATAGGTTGTTCTATTTAAGAAATTGAAGGTGACCTTTATGTGGCTTTCAAGCTACTATTCAAAGTCAAACTAATGGCACCATCTTCCCTCGAAATCATACAACTTTTGTCTGAAACATTTTTTCTACAATCAAAAATAAAAGTTATTTGGGGTAGGACATTATAAAAGAGGACGCTCTGTATATAATCGAATGTTCTATTTTGCCACCTCCAAAAACTTTTTTATTTCTAATTATACATACAACAAAATACTTCAGACAAAAGTTTGATATTGGTGACAGAAGATAGAACTACTGACATTTCTCTGGGCTGCATTTCAAAATTTATTCCTTGGAGTGGAATAGTTTTTCTTTGTTCCGATTGGTTAATCAAAAGCTACTCTATCTCAAGAAGTAAATTTTAGAATATGAATTTTATACAATAAAATGTTTTAAACAAAAGTTGTTTGATTTAAAGGAGGACAGAAGACAAGCGCTATTAATTGTTTTCCAAAGGGCGTTTTTTATGGAACTATTCTAATCTTTTTTATATTAATCGATTCTTTGCAATTTTTGGCATAAAAAGTTATAAGGGTAAAATATATAAAAGTATGTAAAAGATCCTCTTTCAATTTTTGGTAAAGAATCATTTAAAATTTTTCCCTTATAAAAAAAAAAAAAAAGAAGAAGGATAATTTTTAAAAGTTAATAAAAACATGCTAAAATATATTGATTTTTAAGAAGTGACAACATACCTGAAGAGATGCATTTTGATTGCTTTCCTTCTTATCGATATCCTCAATCTTTTGATGCATATTTTCCACTCGATCCGTCGTAACTTTCACACGCTCCTCCGTGGACATTTGTAACTTGAGCTCTTGTTCACGGAAGTAGCCCTCCACGCAATCCTCTTCGAAGTCATACAACCGTTCCATGTCGTCGGCCTCTAAGAACAATTTCAAGCCATTGTCGCAAGTCTCCCCAGTGCCGCTTTTGCCTTGCGTAACGTGTCTGAGACAATATCTCAGCACCAAATATATGTGGCAGACCACTATAAGCGGCGGCGGCAAAACCGGCTTCTGCTCATATTCCATAACGACGGTAAACCGTTGGAACATCCAAACTTGATGAGCTATAGCATTTACCTCATTGAAAATATTGTTAAATACCGCGATTAAAAGATTTATCAGCAAAATATTGGCGACTAAAAGATACACGGACATTACAGCAGGTGTGATCCAACGACCTGTAAGGCACGGTATCATTTCTGGTTCTTCCCCACAAACAGGATCTATAGAATCGGCGAACACTTCTCCGTACAACATAAAATACGGCTCCTTAAATATCTAAAAAAAAATGATCATATATGTATATATAATACATGCACAGTATATAGGGTGTCCCAGACCGCCTGTACACCCCTTTTCTTTCAAAAACAAAGCATTTTAGAGAAAAACGTTTCAGATAAAAACTATATAGATTTGAGAGGAATATAAGATGGTGCCATTGATTTGACCTTGAAAAGTCATTTGAAGGTTATGTGAAGATCAACTTCAATTCATTAAATGGAACTATCTATTTTTCATTACATATTCTTGTAGGTTATTAAGAACTTTCCAAAACCCTATAATAAAGTATTTTTTCATGGAATACTCTTTGAGTTATAAAGGTAACAATTTTTTGGCATAAAATCTATATATATAAGTACCGTCTGTCTGTATGTATGTACGCGAACTACTTCCGCATTTGTGGACCGATTTTCGTGAAATTGGTACCAAAATGTTGCAAATTTTTCGGGGGTGGCTGCTGTGGTTTTTTTTTAAATTTTTTTTTTTTTCCTCAGAGGAGGGTATGTTTTTGCGAAAAATATTTTTTTTCAAATTTCTACGCCAATGTGTTTAGAATGTTCAGAAATATTGCAAAAAAAGATTTTTTTAAGTTTAATGATTTTTTTTATACCTTCACCCACGCGCCACCCACGCACTTTCACATTAATAGATCGATTCTCTAGAGATTATTATAGAACCTAAATTTTGAAAATTTTTCAGAGATGGTTAATGTTTTTTTTTAAGTTTTACATCATCACCCACCCACCCACGCACTCATACATTTATTGACCGTAAGTACCGTCTGTCTGTCTGTATGATCGCGAACTACTTTTACATTTATGGACCGATTTTCACCAAATTGGTACCAAAATGTTGCAAATTTTTCGGGAGTGGCTGCTGTGTGGTTTTTTCAAGTTTCCATTCACCCACGCACTTACACATTTATTGACAGATTTCACGAAATTGGTACCAAAATTTCGTAAATTTTTTGGGGATTACTACTTTGTTTTTTTTATTTTACATCCACCCACGCACACCCACCTGCGCACTTACACATTTATTGGCAGATTTTCACGAAATTGGTACCAAAATTTCGTAAATTTTTTGGGGATGACTACTAGATGTTTTTTTTTTATTTTACATCTCCACTCATGCACCCACCCACGCATTCACGTCTTAATTGACCGATTCTCTTGAAATCGGTACCAAAATTTATTAAAATTTTGCAAATTTTTCTAGGATGACTATTCGGTGGCTTTTTAATTTTACAGCCCCACCCATGCACCCACCCATGCATTCATGTCTTAATTGATTGATTCTCTCGAAATCGGTACTAAAATTTTGCTAATTTTTCGGGGATGGCTAATATTTGATTTTTTTTAGTTTTGTTCATCTACGCATGCGCGCATTTATGGAATAGAAAGGCTTTGAGGACCGCGCTTCGCGCGGTCCGAAAAGCTAGTGTAAAATATATATATATATATATATAACTGGTAAAATAGTTCAGTTTCCGGTAATCATACCTTAATATTTTTTTTACACGGAATAATGAGATCAATCAATTGGTGTAAAAAAAACACATGCTGCTTATAAAAAAAGTATATGCAGTTGCATGTTGAATATTACATATTCTTTTTAAAACAATTATCTGTTTTTTTATACTAATTGATTGATCTTATTATTGTACAAAAAAGTATTAAGGCGTGATATAAACATTGAATATTTTACAAGATATTTTACATTTTATGTCAAAAAATTGTTAGTTTCAAACCTTTATAACTCAAGGAGTACTCCATGAAAAATACTTTATTATAGGATTTTGGAAAGCTGTTTAGATAACCTACAAGAATATGTAATGAAAAATAGATAGTTCTATTTAAGAAATTGAAGTTGACCTTCACCTTTAAATCAAAATCAAATCAATGTAATCAATATATATATATATTCCCCTCAAAACCATGCAATATTTGTCTAAAACATTTTTCTCTAAAATGCTTAGTTTTTGAAAGAAAAGGGGTGTACGGGTGGTCTGGGACACCATGTATATATATTTGGGTGTTTAAAAAATTTTTTTTATTTTCGCCGCATACCAGCTAAAAGTTAGCTAGTGGGGAGATAATTACCCTAACGTGTCAACTCTAATTGATTTTATTTAATGGTTCCATATTCGCTTTGAAATTTTCCCATTTAAATAACACGGGTAATGTTGTTTTTCTTAATAAATTTGAGTTATTTTTATCAAAATCAATTAAAACAATTCAAAATTCGGTCTCAGTAGTTACTGGGGTGCGTTCCGTATTAACGTCTGACACGTCGGAGTGTCAGTTAATATGGAACGCACCCCTGTAAATAGTGTTGATAACTGCTAAAACAAAGTAACTAAGGACACAGTGGAAAAATTAATAAAAAATCATTAAAAAAATTAAAAAGGATAATTTTTGGATATTTTCAATTTTATCTATTTTTAACATAAATACAATTTTATGATTTGAATAATTATTTCTTATCTTTTAATTTGGACAACGAGCAACAAAATGTTTTTTAAAAATATAAATATAATAAAATTTTTGTTTTACAATTTAAAAGTTTTATTTAATAATTATAATTAATTATAATTATAATTAACTTATTATAAATATAATTATAAATTAATAAAAATAATATTAATTATAATTTATTTATTGCATAAATAATTTATTTATTACATAATTAATTATAATTATTACATAAAACTTTTAATTTATATTTTTAAAAACATAATTTTTCTCTTTTCTCAAACTGAAAGATGAAAAATAATCATTCATATCATAAAATTGTATTATTTAATTGTATTATGTGTATTAATTGTATTATGTTAAAAAATAGATAAAAATTAAAAATAATCTAAAAACCGCCTTTTTTAATTTTTTAAACGATTTTTTATGAATTTTTCCACTGCGTCATTAGTTTACTTTGTTTTAGCAGTTATCAACACTGTTTATAGTAACTACTGAGAAATTTGAATTGTTTTAATTGATTTTGATAAAGATAAGTCGAATTTGTTGAAAAAAACCGCATTCCCGTGTTATTATTATCTCCCCCCTAGCTAACTTTTTAGCTGGTATGCGGGCAAAAATAAAAAAAAAATTAAACATCCTAATATATATACAGAGTGGGCCATTTTAAAAAATACGATCAATTTTGGATCGTGTCCGGATCTTGTCTTGACTAGTTGGATCATGCTTGGACTTTGCCCTGATTGGTCGGAGCATGTAAAATAAGACTATCGGAAAGTGAATATTTTAAGAAATATTTTGTATTTTTATCAAAATGTAGTAACTTTCGAGCTTTATAACTCGAAAAGTACGCAATGGAAAAACATTTGACTATAGTGTTTTGGAAAGTTCTCAAGGTCAGTTACAAGAATATGTAATAAAAAAATAAGGGATGCCATTTAAAAAAATTGAGGTGACCTTCGCGTAATCTTCAAATGAATATCCAAGGTCAAACCAATGGCACCATCTTATAGCCCCTTCGAAACCATACAACACATATCTGAACCATTTTTTGATATTTCGCTTAGTTTACAAGAAAATTGATCGTATTTTTTAAAATGACCCACCCTGTATATATATATATATATATATATATGTATATATATATATGTATATATATATATATGTATATATATATATGTATATATATATATATATATATGTATATATATATATGTATATATATATGTATATATATATGTATATATATATGTATATATAAAATAAATTTAAAAAATATTTATACTAATACTATACTACATTATACTATATTAAACTAGATATTAGATAAGATATTATATTATATTAAACTATATGTATATGTAGGTAAACTATACTATATTACACTATATTATACTATATTAAAAACCTATATTAAGTATATTTAAAAATATACTATATTTAAAGTATAAAAAATATATACAAAAATGTAGAGATTTAAGAGTATTTAAAAGATATAAAAAATTTATGATTTAAATATATAGAAATTTTTTTAACAATATTATGTACATACGTCTCGTATTATGCCCCATTTGGGCTCAGAATCTTGATTCAATATAGCTTGTCTGGTTACACCGAAACTCATTAGCACAACTAGCAAAAGCACCACGAAGTATATCATGTTTTTCACCATTTTTCCCATCATAGTCACAAGAGGACCTATAAAAATAAGTAATTATGTATTAAAAAAAATAAAACAAAACATTATGTATTATACATTTGTAATAAAAATTAAAAAAAACGTAAAATCGAAACACTCTTAGTTTGATATTAAACATACCGAAATATTTGTTGACACCAAGGATATTGAGTATTCGTAAATACCAGTAGATACAATCAACGCAATATATGACGCGACCTACATCGAAAGTTGAAGGTCGCAAACGTAAAACCAGTCCAATTTGGAAAAATATAATTGCAGCAGCGTCACATGGATTCCACATGTTCCAAGCCCACACGCTAAATTTATGTGAGAGTTTTGCAGGTTCCGAGATCACTATTTCGCGTACTTTTTCGCATCCAAGAGTACAGATGTAAGCGATTGCGTATATTTCTGCTAACGATGGATGTGCCTCCATTTTTATCAGAATGCAATACGAAAAGAATAGCAAAAAGATAATATATGCTATCTGTAAAGGAAAATATTTATAATTTATTTTAAAAACTATTACTATTATATATTATACCATACTACATACTATATAATATATTACATTATCTACTATATATATTGTACACTTGTAGTACATAGTAAGTATATATAATCTATATTATAGTACTAGAGCATAACAAGTAATATGTACAGGGTTAGGTATTAACTAGTTAATTAGTTGAAAGTTAAAAAATTAATAACTTTTAACTTAGTTTAATTAATTTAAAATGTATTAAATTTTAACTTTAATTAGTTATTTTTGATCTTTAATTAATTTTTTCCTAAGTTAAATTTTTGTTATCTCTGAATACCATTATTGTTTTTTATAAGTTATAAACGTATTATTTTAAATTAAAATATTAATTTTTATGTTTATTTGTCATCAGTTGTAATTACCAAAAATGTTTTTGTATAAAAATTAAAATTTTTGTTATTTTGTGTGTGTGTGTGTTATTATAAATTTTAAAAGAATTAACAAACAAAATTCCAATTTAATATAAATAATATTTTTAAAATTAACTTTTGATTTAACTTTAGTTAATTTAATCTTAACTTTAACTCTGAGTTAATTTTTATTCATGCAAACTTTTAACTTAACTAAATTAATTTTATAAGCAATTAACTTTAATTTAACTTAGTTTTTAAAAATCATGCAAACTTTTAACTTGACTAAATTAATTTTATAAGCAATTAACTTACCCAACCCTAGTAATATAGTATTAGTATACTATAGTAGTATAGTTTTATAGTATAGTAAGTATTAAGTATAATAATAGTACTATATTAAAAAATAGTACTATATTTAAAAAATATGTAAACATAACACATTGTATTTTTTACTGCAACTTATTTTGTAGTAAATGTAAATGCACGCCAATAATTAAAAAATTCTATGTATTTTTAATAGTAAAAAATATCTTTATACTCACAGCATTTGCCCAGAATTTTGTAATCGGAGCAGTGTAGAATTCATATAGTTTCTTTCTTAATCTTAATGGCCTAGTTGTTTTATTATCATAATACTCAGATTGAAGACCATAAGAGCGATATATTACATCGTCGTTGTCAGTTAATACTTTCCCATTCTCTTTAACAATTGTCTCCTTGACTATTGTTGTATTGTGCTCGTTGCTAATTAAAGCCTACAGAAAAGAGTAAAAAATACATGTATATTATTTAGAACTATTCAAATATATCATTTATATATTCGGAAGAATAATTACATACATAAAGTTTAATAAATTTCTCAGTGCAGAGTCGAATAGATATTAATATCAAAATATTTGATGAACAGAAATGAGAGATTTAGTTCTATTTAATTGTAATCATTCATTCAGAAATGTGAAAAAATAACAGTTCTATCGTAGGCAAATTTGGACAAAGAAGAAATTCTTAAATGTCTGTAAGAGAAATTATTTTATAAAATATGAAATCGCTAAATATGCATCTTTGTAACATAATATTACTAAATATTTACATACATATCAATATTTAAAGAAAATTAAAACAAAGATTCTCAATTTATTAATAAGTAAATTTAAAAATTTTTAATTTATACTCAGTGTATACTAAAAATTGAAATAAAAACTAAGTTAAAAAAATTTTATAAATTTTCAATTTTCAATAAAATTTCAAAATTAAATTGTGATATTACACTTTATAATATACATAAATAAAATTTTAATAATATATTTTAGAGAAAAAAATAAAAATTACGTCTGTAAAGAAAAGATCGATATTAGAAATATTTGCAATAACTTATTGAAATATTTATGTACATGCAAAGAAAGTTGTTTTGTAACATATTAAACAAGAGTATTATACATTAGACTATAATAAAGAACTATTGTACAATTTATAATTTCACAAATATATTAATATTTTTGTGTGTATTCCTAAGTAGCAAACTGACGTCATTAAATGTCCAAATAATATCATTTTGACATCTAATGATATCATTCGATGCCACAATGATGTATACTGACTACCTAGGATTATTTACAAAGATATATTTACCTTCAAATATTAATGAACAAATAGAAACTAATTGTAAATACTAAGTTGTAAGAATTACATTTAGAAAGTATGTAAATAATTACTAATAAGTAATATAATTAATATTAATATTGGTCTATTTTATTTCTAGAATCTAGAATATACCTAATATTGGAATATTATGTACATATGCATATATATATATATATATGTGTGTGTGTATGTATGTATATATATTATATATTGTATATGGAAGTTGTAACACACTTTATATGATATTATCATAAAAATAATGAATTCTTAACATTTGAAGGAATTTCATTGTGTTATTATCTATGTAGTACAAAGTGAATGTTGCATGTACATGAAAAAAACTACATGATTGTGAGAAATGACTAATAAAAAATGACTAAAAATAAATAAATAAAAGATAGCTAAAGAGTGCACCAGAGAATGTGATTATTGTATAGGATACACTGCGTTCAGACCGATATAAATATACCTTTACGCCTTGTTGGTTGATGGATTTGTTGCGTACGCTCAGGCTCCTGCGCAGACGTTTCTAAAAAATAATTAACACGCATACCCACATAGTCTATATGTTACAAGCGGTTCAATGCACCTTTAAGATAGAGAAAATTAATTATGTATGTGAAAAGTATACCCCTCAATCCAGGCATTATAATGGTACAACAATGGAATGTGTGAATAACGCAAGTATGACAAAGTATAAGCAAAGGAAAAAAACAATATTACATTATTTCAATGAATAATCGATGATAGAATAACATATTCCATTAAAATAAAAAAAATATAAGCCAAATGGAGAGATTATGCATTAATATTAAATTGTGTTACCTAAATAAGTATTTACAAATATTATGCATGTTTTTACATAATTTTGGGGTGAAAATGTTTCAATAACAATCTTATTATTTATTTCATTATATATGTTTTTAATATTTAAAGCAAAAAGCTGTTAATATTTAGCACTTAAAGTATTGTCAAGTTTGCATAATCTTTCAATTAATAATACACAATGGATTAAATTTAAATAGCATGCTTTCATCGTTATTAAGTCATTGCAATCTTTCAAAATAGTCAGGATGTAGTTGTTAACTAAATACATCTGAAATTTTTGGACAAATAATAACTGTTATACTTTTGTAAGGTAAAAAAAATAATTACCTCTACATCTGGCCCTGCGGGTGTACTCTGTTCAGAATCGCTGTCTTCTTTCTCATCTTCTAGGGCAATCAAATGTTCCTCTTGCGTCTGAGGCATCAGTTGCAGTTCTTCTCTACTCTTAAATTCTAATCGCGTTATGTACAGAGGACAGAATAATCCCATAACCACCTAAGAAAATATCGAAATGCATGTTTTATAAATATTTGATCAATCGATTACAATTAAATAAGTTCAGAAATTAATTACTTTCAGATTCGTATTTTTACGTGTACGAAGACCACCCATCCATAAGTCGGCTAGAATAATTTGGCTACAAGGATGCGCTAATAATTGTCGATGATTCGCTGTAACTGCGAGAGACAGGCATGTCTGCCCTGACCAATTTTGAAGTTCCGAAGTCAATAACTGTTGTGTCTGATCATCATCTTGTCGATAACAATAGTCCAATAATTCGAGTGCTATAAAAAAATAGATTCGATATGATTTGATAACATTGATTATATAAAATTGATTTTATACAAGGTGTTCCGTTTTAACATCTTTTTTCAAGATCATGTGAAGGTTAATCTAGTCTTTTTTCAAGGTTTTGTAAAGGTCAATTTAGTTTTTTTTAAGGTCATGTAAAGATAAATCTAGTATTTTTATGGTCATGTAAAGGTCAATTTAGTTTTTTTTATATAAATATTTTCCTCGCAATTTTTTGATATAAAAAGTTCTTCTAAGTATATATTTAAAATAGGGCACCTTATATATATTTTGAAATAAATTTCTACTTCTTCATTTATACCTATATTTTCAAACTCTTTGCCATAACCGCGTAATTCGTCATAAACTTCGGTTTCCAGATCATCCTCAGCCGCTTCATGCGCCATCGCCTTGTACAGTTTCAGGGCAACAAGAGCCTTAGCCAGGGCCTCCTCCCCATGTTGCCACATTAACAGAGCCATTTGCTGACGCTTTGTCAATACGGCCCAAATGAGCAGTTCGTTGAACGGGTAGTCGAAGAGAGGCGTGTCGCGATGAGCCGGCAATGTTTCCGCGAGTAGACTCATGGTTAAACTGTCGGATTTTCCACCGGAGCCCGTATTGCCGTAGCGTGTATTGCAATTCGGAGCGCAGCTGTTCCGATGCATGTATTGCTGATTACCGCCAGATTTCTTCATCACCTTGGTATAAATAACGCGAAACCTTCTACGCGTATACTGTGCTCGATACGCTCCACCCATCAATTTGTTGATCACGAGACCGATGTCGTGCAGGGTGTACATGTAACCTCGTGGAATATTCGGCCGTACATCGCGCAGGATGTAGCCCAACGTATTTGATGGGCCTTCTTTCTAATTAAACAATTAAAAAAAACAAAGCTTGTCAATATTATAATACTATAAACTATATATTATACAGTTACAGTATAATATATAGTTTATAGTATATTGTATATATATATATATATATATATATATACACATATATGTATACAATATACACTACAAGTTAGATGTACTCCAAATAGTATAGTATATATGGTGTATATATATTAGTATATACTATACATAGTACAGTATACACTACTATATACTAGTATATACTAGTATGTACTAGTAGATATAGTATACTATAGGTCTGTTTTTTTCGGCTGAACTGGCTACACTAGTTCAGGGGTTGTCTTTTTTGCTTGACATTGGAAGGAAAAAGATAACCTTTGAACTAGTGTAGCTAGTTCAGCTGAAAAGAACAGACCTTATATTAGTTACTGGTATATGCTACTAGTGTAACTATACTATGTATAGTACATACTAGTATATACTATGTATGGTATACACTATATACAGGGTGAGTCTTTTTAATCTTAACGGGCAAATATTTGAACATCACGGGGTTATAGAAAAAAATGTTTCATACAAAAGTTGTAGAGTTCAGAGGAAGACATAAGATGGTGCCATTGATTTGACCTTGGATAGTCATTTGGAGGTCATGTAAAAGTCACCTTCAATTTCTTAAATGGAACTACCTATTTTTCATTACACATTCTTGTAGGTTATCTCAAGAGCTTTCCAAAACCCTATAATAAAGTATTTTTTCATTGAGTACTTTTTGAGTTATAAAGGTTTGAAGTTGACAATTTTTTAAACATAAAATGTAAAATATTTTGTAAAATTTTCAGTTTTCTGTAATCATACCTTAATAATTTTTTGCACGGAATAATAAGACCAATCGACTAGTATGAAGAAAACAGATAATTGTTTAAAAAAAATGTAATATTCAATATAAATTTAACGTATAAGACGGGCAACAAGAGCCAAATCGCGGATGACAATGCGTTATCTTAACGAAACTAAATAATTTTCCGTTAGAATTAAATACCGGTGCACAAAGCACCAAATTTTACTTGGACACGGCCAAGATTTTAAAATATGAAATAATCTCATATTTTAGATTTAATTTCAATACCCCCTTTAACCCCCCCACGGAAAATAAATAAATGAATGCAAGAGAAAAATATAGATCCGAAAATCACTGAATCGGGAATCGAACCCGAGACCTTTCGCTTGCCGGGCGACTGCTCTTCCAGCTGAGCTATTCAGATCCTTTCGATTCTATACTTTTCTCTGTTATATATATTAATGTTGGTAAACAAACGCATTTTTAAGCCAGCGTGTATCAATATAAGAGTTTTAACAAGGCTCTGTAATATAAATATAAATTTAACGTATAAGACGGGCAACAAGAGCCAAATCGCGGATGACAATGCGTTATCCTAACGAAACTAAATAATTTTCCGTTAGAATTAAATACCGGTGCACAAGGCACCAAATTTTACTTGGACACGGCCAAGATTTTAAAATATGAAATAATCTCATATTTGAGATTTAATTTCAATACCCCCTGCATTCATTTATTTATTTTCCGTGGGGGGGTTAAAGGGGGTATTGAAATTAAATCTCAAATATGAGATTATTTCATATTTTAAAATCTTGGCCGTGTCCAAGTAAAATTTGGTGCCTTGTGCACCGGTATTTAATTCTAACGGAAAATTATTTAGTTTCGTTAGGATAACGCATTGTCATCCGCGATTTGGCCTTGTTGCCCGTCTTATACGTTAAATTTATATTTATATTACAGAGCCTTGTTAAAACTCTTATATTGTAATATTCAATATACAGCTGCATACTTTTTCTATAAGCAATTATGTGTCCTTTTTACATCAATTGATTGGTCCCATTATTCCGTTCAAAAGTGTATTAATGGTATGATTACCGAAAACTAAATAGGTAGTTCCATTTAAGAAATTGAAGGTGACCATTACATGATCTTCAAATGACTATCCAAGGTCAAATCAATAACATCATCTTATGTCCTCCTCTGAACCGTACAACTTTTGTATAAAACATTTTTTCTATAACCCCGTGATGTCCAAATATTTGCCTATTAAGATTAAAAACTCACTCTGTATAATATATGTATACTACTGTATACATAGTATAGTATATACTATATACAGTATATACAATACTATAATGTATATGTATTTATAGTATATAATTTATAATATATACTGTAAACTATATACTGCAAATAAAGTATACTATAGTATGTAATACTTATAGTGTATAATAGTACCTACTTATAATATAATATAATACTAGCTTTTCGGACCGCGCTTCGCACGGTCCTCATATAGCCTATATTAAACCTGTTTTAACACAAAAAATTAATTCTTTTGTCTGTATTACCGCAAACTACTTTCACATTTGCTGTCCGATTTTTACGAAATTTATACCAAAATAAATGTTTAAATTTTTTCATGGATGATTTTACTATGTTATCTATTTCTTTCTCCCAGATATTTTATTTCGCACTGCGTTTGGATATATTTAAATATTTAGCTTTTTATTTTTATTTTCTTGTTTGTTTATTTTAATTTCTACACAATTTCATATTTTGTGCGTTCTCGCATTGCGTGCGCGCATTTATGGGGTGACGTGGAAACTTAAAAAAAAACCACATAGCAGGCATCCCCGAAAAATTTGAAAACTTTTGATACCAATTTCGTGCAAATCGATCCATAAATGCGTGCGCGCATCAGTGGATGCGTGGGTAGGATAAAATTAAAAAAAATATCTAATAATCCTCTCCCAAAAATTTGCAAAATTTTGGAATAAAAGATAAAAATATGTATTGAATCTTTAAATAAATCCACGAACGCGTGAGTGGGTGCGGATGTGTGTAAAACAAAGAAAAAACTAATAACAGACATTCCCAAAAAATTTAAGAAATTTTAGTACAATTTCTTAAAAATCGGTTCATAAATGCGCGCACGGGTGGGCAAAATTTAAACAAAAATATCAAGTAATCATCCCCTAAAAATTTTCAAAATTTTGCTACTAATTTTTTGAAAATCGGTCTATAAATCCGTATATGCGTGGGTAAAGGTGCAAAAAAAAAAAAAAAAAAAAAAAAAAAACTGACGTGAATGTTGTACCTAAAAAAAACCATATAACAGTCCTCTAAAAATTTGCGAATTTTGGTGCCAATTTCGTGCAAATCGGTCCATAAATGCACGCGCATAGGTAGATGCGTGGATGGGATAAAATAAAAAAAAAATATTTAGTAGTCATCCCCGAAAAATTTGTAAAATTTTGGTAACAATTTTTTGAAAATCGGTAAATAAATGCGCATACGCGTGGGTGGTGCGCAGATGGGGGTATAAACCTTAAAAAAAAAAAAAAAACTAAAAGAAAACCATATAACAGCCATCTCTTAAAAATTTGTTAAAGTGCGAAATTTTGGTACCAATTTCATGAAACTCGGTCTACAAATGTGTGGGCGGGCAAAACTAAAAAAAAACCACAGAGCAGCCTCTCCGAAAAATTTGCAACATTTTGGTACGTTTAACAAAAATTGATCAAAAAATGCGTATGCGCAAGAGTAAATGCGTGGGTGGGCGAAATTAAAAAAAAAAAGAAAAAAAAAAAAAACATACAGCAGCCCTCTCCGACAAATTTGGAACATTTTGATACCTGTTTCAAGAAAATCGGTTCACAAATGTGAAAGGAGTTCGCGGTCAGACATACAGACAGACGGTGCTTATATATCTTTATAAAATTATATATACTATAAATTCTCTATATAACTGCATGCTATATAATACTTATATACTATAAATATACTAAATATATACTATAACAATACTATAATACTATAATAATTACTTGTAATATTCATAGTTATTCAAAAAGTAATATTTATAATCTAATTTTTAATAAAAATTATAACATCAATTATTTTTTCTAAATATAAAATGTCCACTAAAAAAGTAAAAAAGTATATTAAGAGAAATAAATAAGAATTTCGAAATACGTAGATTACACAAATGTTTTTATATTATTTAAAATATATGATATATATTATTTTTGTTTTTTAATAACAATTTCTCTTTTAATTTCTATTTAAATAAATTGAAGGGAAAACAGTTTTACCATCAATATAATCAATAGTCATTGATAATATAGAATATCTCTTTTGTATCCATATTTAAATTGTTTACTGAGAAAAATTGTCGATAGAGAAATAAAGTTGACCTACTGTATTATACAGCTCCTCGAGACGGGGTATCGATAAAAATTTCCGCATGGACACACCATTTTCCAGTAGAAGTTTCACAAAGTCTATCCTGTCATGCTGAAGCGCCTGCATCATAGCCTGTTCTAAAGCACCAGGCGGCCACTTTTGGCCGTATATAAAAATTTCACTTCGAGCAATATCTACGCGATTCCATATTAACGAAAGGGACAGCTGTTCAGCCGGTGACAATTGTTTTGATTTAAACAAAGCTGTCAAGATAGTTTGATCGAGTTCCTGTGGTCTATCTTGCGAGATCCTGAATACAGTGATCTGTAAATATAATTTTTATTCGGATAATTTTCGGTCTTTATATGACCAGATATAAAAATATTTATCTTATTTATAAGAGAAGATGTAGATACCAAATGTTTTTTTCGTGTACATTGCAAGAGTTCTGAACAGAGCTGACTCGCCTGTTCGGCGGAAACTTGAAAAGTGCGTTTAATAGTTTCTAAAACTTGTTCCTTGACGCCCTCCAAAGGCCCTTCTCCATCACCAGTCTGCCCATCTCTCCACCTATATAAAAAAATGTATTTCATAAGTATATACCACAATAAAAAATATATCTTACTTTAATATATAATTTTCAGGGTGTATACCAAATCTTATAAATAAATTCCATCATTTTTCAAAATTCCAAGTACAATTAAATCACTTAAAAAAATTTTTAAATAGAATTTTAAATTAAGTATATTTTTGTTATACATAATTTTTTAACATAAATAAAATATATTTTAATATACTTTGTATAAATGTAATAAATTTTATATTCTTTAAAGATATATTTATAAAAATAAAATCAAAGAGGCAATTTTTAAAAATATTCCCTGAATTCAAAATAAATTCCATAAGTATTTCAGGATTTTTTAAAGTAAAAAAAATTTCCTAAAAGTTTCAGATTTTTTCTGGAAATATACACCCTGAATTTTTTTTAAATAGTTGTGATAAATAAAAGCACGTCATTACTTATGCATAAAAGCGATCAGATCAGCTGCACGTCCTGAGCCATCACAAATTACTACTGGTACAGGTGGATCATCCGTCACATATTCCAAAACCGCACGGATTGTATTTGTTCCGCCTTCGATAACCAAAGCTACTACAGGTATACTGCTGTGCGTATCTGAGAGCAACAACAAAATCAGAAATTCTTAGATATTAGAATGGAAATTCCACGTTTTATAGATCCTCCAAACAACACACTTACATGGTTGCAATTTTAAATTTGAAATGTATTTTTCTAATTTTCTACGAAGAACAATTTCTGCACCGTACCGAGCGCCAGTACCATTGTCCACCAATAAGAAGTAGGCATGTCGATTATTTAACACTGTGTATTTGGTCCTGCAAAAATCAAGAGAGACGTGTTTTAATATTTCTTAAACAGTACAAACATTTTTAAGCGATACATCTTTTTTTTAAATTCCCTGAGTTCAAATCAAATTTCATGATAATTCCAGGATTTTTCAAGGTAGAACAAAATTCTCTGAGAATTTCAGGTTTTCCAGGGTTTTTCAGAGTATACACCCTGTATGTTATATCGCAAACTCTCACCATGGCGAGGAGACACAATCGTATGATACTTCTCCACCGCGACTGATCAACTCGTGACTCTTGTCCAAAATTCCCCAAGGGGCAATTCCTATGCTCACCACTCGACCTTGTCGTTGAGAACGTTCCAACAATAAAGCATCACCGACTTGTCGCGTAACACCTATCATTGGAATAAAAATAGAAATAAAAATATTAATTTTTGGATACAATGTCCAATAAAATAAGAAAATTTGTAGAGCCAGCTTTTTAAAAGTTCCTTTATTGTACACGTTTTTTAAATGTTTTCTATTTATATAGTTGAAAAATTGAAAAAGTCGAGAGTGTAGTTTTTCTAGTATTTAATATTGATTTATTAATTTATTATAAATATAATTTGGACAATAGCAAAGCGCCAATGTATCGTAATATTTAAATACTAAAAAATATATGCAAAAATATAATATAAAATAAAAATAGAAAACAAAAAATAATTTATTATAAACGTCTTAAGGAATTATTAATTTATTTAAATTATTTATTAAATTATTATTTAGTTTGTTTATTAAATTATTATTTATTTAATTATTTATTAAATAAAGAAAGAGTTACTCTAATTTATTTAATTATCTATTAAAAAATTGAATTTTTTAAATAAAAATTACATAAGATCCTGATATTGAAATAGATAGGCAATAAAACAGATCACCAAATTTTAATAAAGACAAAATATGTTAGCTGTTAGACATGTTTCTTAAGTTAAAAACTAATAAATTCTAAAACTAATAAGTTCTAAATAAAAGTCAAATTAAAAAGGCATTTTTTTAAATTCCTCGAATTTCAAACAAATTCCTAAAAATTTCCTGATTTTTCAAAGTAAAATAAAATTTCCTAAGAATATACACTCTATTAAACTTATTATTCTTTCCATAAAATTACTAAAAATTATATACCTGTATTGGTTCCTCCCGTGAATATCCATGCTCCCGTTGTTTTAGCGGCTTTCAATAAGCCTTTACGTAAAACCTTCTTCAAACTCGGCTGAAGCTCGAAATTTGATCTACCACCATGGACCGTAATTAACAATTTGGGCAAGCCTAAATTCCATTCTCGACATAAAAGCTGAACAATTGGTTCCGGTCGTGTATCATGAGCCAATCTTACGTACTGCAAATAATATTATATGTCAATTTCATTCATATATGTATAAAATATATTTAATATGTGAGAGAACACATATTAAAAATTCTTAGATTTCTTTTTATTTCAAAATAGCATCTAAGAATTTTTAGTGTGTTTTCTGAAGATTCAGGAGCCTTAATAATATAAAAATAATATAAAAACAAGAACAGATACTTGTGCTTTTGTAGGATGCGGGCCACCCTGAAATTCTATAGTGCCATATGCATCGGTGGGGAAAGCGCGAGTATTTTTTCCTGGAAACCACTGTTCACGATCTTTTTCTCTGGTATTACTGAGAGTGTAACTTTGAACATCTGCCCCAGTTCCACAATGATGAGTGTATGAATTGCCACAGCAACATCTATGATAATTATATCTTAGTATAAAAATACTTGATTTTTTGAGATTATATCTACATTAATGATTAATTTTATATTTTGTTTATTATTGCATATGTTATAAAAGTTATAATATTACACTATTAAAAAAAATAGGGAACACCTTTCATATCCTTAAAATTGAATTGAAATTTAAACTTTGGCAAAAAATCATAGTAGACTAAAAATTAAAAAAGCATTTTGAAGCTTGAAGTTTCAACTTTAACGCGGAATCGATGATAAAATACAAAGTATAAACAATTGTTTATTATATATAAGATATTAATATATCAAAGAGCTATATACTCAAAAAATTGTATAATTTATACTTTATAAATATTATTTTTCTTATTAAATTCAACCTTTCATACAAAATTTTTACCTATGCTCATCTTCCACGCTCGGAATAAACTTTGCACATTCTCTCTTTTGAAATGTAGCCTCTATCCAATTGCGTTCAGTTGTCTATAATTTAAAAAAAATATATAAATTGTAGTTATAAATATAAAAGAATATTATAAAAATATGTATACTTATTAGCTATTGTTGTTATTTAATATAATTATCAAATTGTATCATGATAAAATAATAATAATAATAATAATAATAATAATAATAATAATAATAATAATAATAATAATAATAACTGCTAAAATATTAATATTAAAATTGCAATAAATTAATCTTTTAGAATATGTGATATCTTTAACAGAGGATAATAAAAGAAATATTCTTAATAACAAAAAATATACCTTAATTTTTTTCTTTTTCACTTTTGGAGTATTTGCACCACAGATAATATTTCCAATTGCCATCTTGGCGTGTGTGAAATTTACATTCACATTAACTTAAACAATACAACTAAAAATTCATAAAAAATGCAAAAAATCATATATAAGAAAAACTAGAAACTTATCAATATAGTGTGCAAAAGATTCATATATTTAATTTATTGCACATACAAAACATACTATAAAATTTATTATATAATATGGTTACATATATACATATACTAAACTTAAAACATTCAAAAATGTTGTTTACTGTATAATAAAGTAATAAAATAGTGAGTAATATAAAACTAAAAAATAAATATTTACATGTTTAAAGTTACAATTACAAGATGAGATTATATGTAAATGTTACTCACCAATCGACAAGATTTATTTTTGACAATCATCTTTAATTCATAAATAACAATGTAAATTGTGCTTAATTTACTGTATTTTATATTTGATTGTCACAGTTATATTAGAATTCTCATCATTTCTTATCCTCTCACATTCATATAGAGAAACCATGTCTAAAAAAGAAAACTAAACTTATGAATGTATCAAAGACGATGAAAGCTGTTATTCTATAATAAGAAATTATAAATGGGAATTATTTATTACTTTGCAAAAATTCATAAATACTTGATAGAATGAGACTAAACTTTCAGAATAGACATTGATATACTTATAAAATAATAGTAAAATAAAATATATAAACTTGTAAAAAAATAAATAAAGTATAATAGTTTATATTTATAAACTTTTACAATATACATAATATAAAAATTATTTCATATTAAATAAAAAATAATTATGATTATAAATAAATATAGATTATAAATAATATAAAAAGTGACACATTTAAAAATGTTGATTCAAAAGTACACAAAACATAATTTAATATATGTAACATATAAGTATCTTGAATCTCTTCATTTTTATTCTATTCATTTTTATTGTAAGTATTGTAATATTGCGATGACTTATACCACAAGTTTTATCACTAACAATAAAACAATTAAATTAACATTAAATGCTTTTAATTTAAATGTATAATAAATTGAAAATAAATTGACATTTGTGAGTCACTTGAATAATATTCTGATTAACTTAATCATTAAATAATAGATTTGTATTTTTCGCCAGAGAGAATTTAAAAAATAATAATTAGTTCGACCATACTGGCTCTTATTAATAATTCGTCTTTATTAGATATGAAGTACACTACGTTTCGACCTTAAATTTAGGTCCTTTTCAAATGCTAAAATTATAAAAAATCAATAGTTAGTGACGCAAAACTAAAACTAAATACAAGTCAATTCATGCAGGGAGAGACAACAATGTACTTACTTAAAACAATTCTAATAAGCCACATTAAGCTATAGAGATATAAATTATGATATGTTAAGCGCTGTGAACTTTAACATGTCGCTAAGACATTCTGTCAACTACTGATATAAGACGCTAAATTATTCTAATGACCTTATCATAAATAGAGTTGAGATGTCACCCATCCTGGCAGATATGGTGATGGATGATCTAGAGTCTCATTGCTTAAATTCATTGCAGTTCGCAGTTCCGGTTTATTTCAGATATGTCAATGACATTTTTACTGTTATACCACGCAATAAATTAGATGAGATGTTATCGGTTTTAATGCTTACCACCAATGGTTAAAATTCACCTATGAAATAGAATGTAATAATTCCATCAATTTTTTAGACACAACAATTATTAGGTGTAGTAAAGGAAAGTTAATCACTAATTAGTTTAGGAAGCCCACTTTCTCAGGGAGATACATTAACGTCCTTTCAGCCCATCTGTTTAAAAATAAAATTAACTGCATAAACAATTTAGTGGACAGAGCCATCTTATTGTCAAATAAAAAATTTCATAATAATAATATAAATATAGTAAAACAGATTTTAACTAATAATAAATTTCCATTACTTACCATTTATAAATATATAAAAAAGACTACAATTTTAAAAAAATAAGAACACCAATAATAATAGCAGGAAAAATAGTAATATTAATAACTTAAATGATTGTACATATATTGTGTTATCATACATGGGAAATTTCAGCGACAACATCTCTTAATCACTTAGAAAAAAAGGACTAAGAGTAGTATATAAATTACAGAAAAAACTAATTGTAAGTAGCCTTATCAAAAGAGATAAGGATACCACTCCTAAATTAAATAAAACAAATGTCGTTTATAGACTGGAATGCATTGATTGCAATGTTTCTTACATAGGACAAACAAAGAGACATCTAAATACTCGCATAAAGGAACACCAGAACATTAAAAAGCATGAATCGAATCTGTCGGTTGTTAGCAAACATAGAATAGAATGCAATCACGATTTCCGGTGGCTTGACCCTTGTATTTTACATACTGAAAAACATAGACGTAAGAGAGAGATTGCTGAAATGTTATATATTAAAAAGCAAACAAACACAATCAATCTTCAAACTGACACAGACAATCTCAATTCTGTTTATGATAAGGTCATTAGAATAATTTAGTGTCTTGTATCAGTAGTTGACAGAATGTCTTAGCAACATGTTAAAGTTCACAATGCTTAACATATCATAATTTATATCTTAATGTGGCTTATTAGAATTGTTTTAAGTAAGTACATTGTTGTCTTTCCTTGCACGAATTGACTTGTATTTAGTTTTAGTTTTGCGTCGCTAACTATTAATTTTTTATAATTTTAGCACTTGAAAAAGACCTAAATTTAAAGTCGAAACGTAATGTACCAGTATGGTCGAACTAATCATTAATTTCCTTATTATTTTTTAATCATTAAATAACCATCAGTAAAATTTTTAATGACGATATAATTATTATATATACAGAGTGTAAAATTGAAACTGAGTAAAAAATTCATATAAAATATATATATATATATATATATATATATATATATATATATATACACATATGTAAAATTCATATGTATACAAAAATGTGTGATTTTTATGTTCAATCATATTTGAGTTGAAACTTAAGATTAAAGTGTATAATTTGCGATTTTTAACAAATAGGTAATAAAACAGTAAAATAATCTCATGTATCGTTGTTGACATTTCAACTGTCACTCAATGTATGTGAAAAGATCAAACAAGGATAACAATGACATGAAATGACAGTAAAAAAATGGTTCTTTTTTTATACCTGTATTTCCTTATTTTTTACTTCTGCTGCTTCAAAAAAAAAAATTGCGAGCACAAATATTTATTTAATTTCGAAAAATATGTGCAATTAAATTCACGACCAAATGAAAAAAAGAGATCTCATTCCTCAAGTTGGATCATATGATATAACAGAATTGTTCACATATATTCACTGCAAAAAGGGTCAAAAATTAAGTGATCGCGTTCACATAACACTTGTAACATACGTTAAATGTATTCGCACAAATTCGTGGATTTCGATAAAGATACATCGAAGAAACAAACTCGGAGCATCAACGAGAGAGGTTATTTTTAATGCACTTAACTCCTTGCGGGACGCATCACCACACACACGTTTCCTTTGTTATATATAATAAGTATATACTTTGATAAAATTATTTTCTCGCGGAGGGATTTTATTAAGGGTCAGCAGGAGTCACGAGCAATCTCCGAACTGATAATGGAGACCCCACATGGTGATAACGCAAAACTCGAGGGACACAGTAGCCGAAAATCAAGATATATATAAGATTTTATTGTGCGCATACGCGAGAAATCCAACCAATATCATGACAGCTGATAACACGTGTCGTCAGAGTAATCACGTGTTCATTTATAAAGTGGTATTCATAGGGTGCATTCGTTTATGCAGTGACTGCCGCAGAATGCCGCAAATGTCGTTCGTTTACTCCACCTCCGCAACCGACTGCAGCGCAGTTTGTTGTTCGTTTAAGCAGAGCTGCTGCCTATCTGCGCAGCCATCTCGGAGGTCCTGCTTAGGATGCTTTGCTCGCAGTACTGCGGACTACTGCGTAAACGAATGTAGTCTTCTCCATTGTTAAGCCAATTGAACTTGGAAACGTTGCCTGAAAATTATTTCAATTATGAGTTATGTTATAAAAGTTCAGAACAAAGAAGGTGGAGAATAACTCCTCCAAATAGATCCTACAAAACTAAAAGTAATGCAAGGTAAGTAATACAATAAAATTATGAAGTCTGTTAATTTATATTTACGATCCAATTAACTTAAAAATGCACTTTTATCAAGAATATAAATTTAAAGTAATCTGTTTAAAAAAAATGTGCTTTGTATAAAGATGCAATTCTGTTACAGTCATTCCTAGCTATCAAGCTACTTCGTCCCCAGTAAGTTTGGAAAAATCTGAGAAGTCTACATTCAGCAACATTTCAATCCTACCGTCATCACTGTCTAAAAATGTTATGTGCACACGTCATATGTCAGAACCTTCAACCTATTTAAAAATTTTATTATATTTATTCAAATAATAATTCATATTTAATATAAATATGATGGTTTCTAAATCGGCCTAAGAGCCATAGCACGAAAAATTACGAAAATTAATTATTCGGAACTGTATCTCTTGGTACGAGATTACTAAAGTTCCATATATTAATTAACCTTGAACTTACATATGGAGAAATAGGCGCGAAAAATATAGGTCCGAAAAGTCGCTGAAGCGGGAATCGAACCCGCGTCTTTCACTTTCCGGGCGACTACTCTTACCACTAAGCTATTCAGACTCTTTCGATCCTATATTTTTCATTTGCCTTTTTAGTAGATGTTAGTAAATAACGCCGTGATTAGGCCAGGCGTGAATAAACTCAGAAATAAATATTTTTTATCGGCTCTCAATATAAACAATATAAATATGATGGTTTCTAAATTGACCTAAAAGCCATATAGCACGAAAAATTACGAAAATTAATTATTCGGAACTGTATATCTTGGTACGAGATTACTAAAGTTTCATATTAATTAACCTCGAACTTACATATGGAGAAATAGGCGCGAAAAATATAGGTCCGAAAAGTCTAAATAGCTATTAGTGGTAAGAGCAGTCGCCCGGAAAGTGAAAGACGCGGGTTCGATTCCCGCTTCAGCGACTTTTTGGACCTATATTTTTCGCGCCTATTTCTCCATATGTAAGTTCGAGGTTAATTAATATATGGAACTTTAGTAATCTCGTACCAAGAGATACAGTTCCGAATAATTAATTTTTGTAATTTTTCGTGCTATGGGTCTTAGGCCGATTTAGAAACCATCATATTTATATTGTTTATATTGAGAGCCGATAAAAAATATTTATTTCTAAGTTAATTCATATTTATTTAAAATTTCTTTACTTACGCACTCCAATTACAATCTGAGCAGTCAATTCACGCAGGTGATCGTTCGGTAAATGATGTCACGTGACTCGCAGATAATAGACGCAGTGGATGCGCAGTGGATGCGCTAATCACTGCATAAACGAATGCACCCATAAAGTTCGTATTAAGCCTGATCCATAAGGTCGGGTTCACAATAGATGATTTTTAAATCCTTAGGCCGGATCTACAATAGGTATAGTAATGTGGCGCCTTTCCATTTGGACAAACGTGGACGGACAGTTTACGAACGTACTAGCGCCATTATACACTGCGTTCATATATCCCGAAAAGTACTACAGTAAAACCTCGTTTATCCGAGGTAATGTGGGGAAGGGGTAGTACCTCGGATAAGTGAAAACTCGGATAACACGGAATAAATAAAAAAAACTCGAAAGCTTCCCTTATTTTTGGTATATTTAAAATGGTAACAAGAGAATTTAACCACATTAACATATGAAAATGAAAAATTAACGAACGTGGATTAATTTTTCGCGTAACAAGCATTACATACTTACATATTACAAACGTGGTTTAAAAAAGTCAGTGATAGAGCACTGCTTCAACCTGCTCATTCGTTTTTTAGCTGCAATATCTCGTCATCGTTTCATCAATAAGAGATCACTTGCAGTATTTTCCGGCTGTTCCTCGATATATTTGAGAGCTAGTTCAAGCGCATTTAATCCTTCTTCGTGGCTGATTACCGGACTTTCTTCCGCCTCGCCGTCTTCTATATCATCCGCGATCTCTTCTCCAGAATTTACGAGTTGGCCAATTTCGTCGTCTGTAAGTTCTTCTTCACAATCATCACCATGAACCCATTCCTCAGTATCGTTTCTTTCGATGTTTTCACAACCAAGAATCTGCTCCATAATGCTATGCAGATCTACATCGTCTGCTATTTCATCGCTTTGATTGTTAGAACACAAGATTTTTGCCCATGATCTTTCAAGCGTAAGCCTTTGGACAACATCCCAAGCTTGAACTGACCAGTAAATAACACTTTTCATATTTATTGCTAGCAAACACTCTTTAAGGGTACTACCCGCGGCGCTTTTTTCCAGAATTTCTTGCAGCAAAAAACGTCGATAATGACGTTTGAAAGTCTCGAGTACGCCTTGATTCATTGGTTGTCCAATGGAGATCACATTCGGTGGAAAAAATTTTACAATTATATTTTCACTTCTGAGAACCGACTCGTTCGGGTGTGATGGAGCGTTGTCGAGTAACAAAATAGCTTTTCTTGGAAGACCATTTTTGTTTAAAAATCTCTCAACCGAAGGGACGAATTGTTCGAAAAACCATTTTTGGAAAAGATCGCGACTCATCCAAGCACTCTTTTGATGCACGTAGTATAATATTTGGAGGATTATTCTTTTATGCTGTTATTTAATTTTTTAAAGTTATTTTATATTTATTCTTTCAGATATTACACATATAACAGAACTTAGAAATACATATATACATTTATTAAAATTTTATATTAATGTTATAGTACTTAATATAAATTTATTTTTTATAAATATTTAACATATATTTGAAAAAAGAAGAATAAAATAAAATTTCAAAGATAAATGATAATTACACAATGTCATGTTGATATCAATATACACGTACAATATAAAATATACATATATAATATAGAGTGAAACTTATTACCTTTATCATTTGTACGCACTGTACTTTTTAACATTATACATTTTTAACAGCCTTATTGTTACTAAATACTATAAAATAATTATATTAAGAAAAGTATTTAAAAATCAATTTTTATTATTTTAAATTTTCTTTGTCATCACCTGCGTCTTATTAAAAGCTTTAATTTACTGACAAGTAACACTACCCAAGTGCCACTCGCCGATTTTGATATACTTAGAATATGTTGTAATCTAGGTCAAAATAAGAGACACGTATTTTTTTATACGTGCCCATACGGCCGTTAAAGTGGTGAAAACCCTCTTGAAGAAAAATAGGTTTTTATCTTTCTGAGCAAATATCGTCGAAACAGTAGGAGATATAAAAAAATTTTTAAACAACATTTTTATGGTTTCTAATGTACTTTAAAACTGTGCAATCAAATTTTTCAAAAATTTTATATTTTTCAAAATTCTCCTCCCTCTTCTCAATTTTTGAAAATTAAAAAATTTTGTTTATAGTATAACTTATAGTATATTTAACAACAAAATCAATCATATATGATAAAGTTGTATTCCGAAGTCGCAGTATTCAGAAATACCATATAACATATCAATTTGAAGTACCTCTGTATACCGCTATACACGCCTCTGTCCGCCTTATGACTCTTACTATTCATGGCGATAGCTTTGTAATTTCACAGAGACTACCATAAAAGACGGGCTCTTGAAGGATTTATTTGAAAAAATAAGTCAAGTTCTCGCTCTCTGTCGAACCCAGGAATAACCAACGTGGAGGTGACAAAAAATCAATTAAATCCTTCAAGAGCCCGTTTTTTATGGTAGTCTCTGTGAAATTACGAACAAAGCTATCGCCATGAATAGCAAGAGTCATAAGGCGGACAAAGCGCGTGTATAGCGGTATACAGAGGTACTTCAAACTGATATATGGTATTTCTGAATACTGCGACTTCGGAATACAACTTTATCATATATGGTTGAATTTGTTGTTAAATATACTATAAGTTATACTATAAACAAAATTTTTTAATTTTCAAAAATTGAGAGGCGGGAAGAGGATTTTGAAAAATATAAAATTTTTGAAAAATTTGATTGCACAGTTTTAAAGTACATTAGAAACCATAAAAATGTTGTTTAAAAATTTTTTTTATATCTCCTACTGTTTCGACGATATTTGCTCAGAAAGATAAAAACCTATTTTTCTTCAAGAGGATTTTCACCACTTTAACGGCCGTATGGGCACGTATAAAAAAAATACGTGTCTCTTATTTTGACCTAGACTACAACATATTCTAAGTATATCAAAATCGGCGAGTGGCACTTGGGTAGTGTTACTTGTAAGATGGATTATTCACTATCTATTTTATTTGTCATCACTTGTGTCTGCTTCAAATATGTCTATTTTTTTCTTGAAAGCTGTTATATCCCTAAAAGATGTAACTATTAAGAAATAACTACTTATATTACATCCGCTTGACGACGGGCACTGACCGCGTAAAAACGCATGCGTTGCGGGATACACGCGGAACCGAAATTGCTCAATGTGCAAGCAAAGCGGAAGGACTTGGAATTTACTTCGCTTGCACCTAGGTCCTTGACCGAGAGGGCCCGTTGCCAGGCACCCCTTTCGATCAAGAAACTTCCAAAAAGCGATACTATAAAAACGGAGCAGGAGACGCGCCCGGCAGTCGCTCTCGAGTCGTTAATTAAAGCAACCTCGCTAACTGCGTGCGATCTATAACATCTTATCGCAGTCGCGCGCGCGTTTTGCGAAGTCATAGTTAACTAGTGCCGCTAAACTGATATACGTAACGTACAAGTGTAACATTGTGGAACTAAAGAAAACGTCAAGTGGTTAATTCAAATAAAAGTTATTTAATAGTGAAAAAGTGAAGTGCATTCATTCAATCATCCCGATTCAAGCCTTGACGCCCTGGATCCTCATCCTAATTTGGTGCGACCCCTTGTGCCTTACCCGAGGCACATAACACGGCGCATGTTGGGATTCCGGGTAATGAGTTGGCTGACTTTCTAGCTAAGAGAGCTGTAAGGAAGGGTGCTTCTTGTGATTTTCTTGTTCCTCATTGTGACTTTTATTTCTTCGTTCGTAATGTTTATTTGCTTGCTACTAGGGGCTGTCTCATGCGTCAATCCGGTTTTAAGGGCACGCAATACTTTCAATTCTATTCTAACTTTCCATCTAAGCCGTGGTTTGCTGGGCTTGAAATTGGGAGAAGCGCTATTGTCGCTTCTATTAGAATTATATCTAATCACTACAATTTAAATTCCAGCCTATTTAGATGCAACATTGTTCAATCACTTGTGTGTGATTGTGGGGCTCCTGTTCAGAATATCGACCATGTCCTGTGGTCCTGTCCTCTCTATGAAGAGCATTGTCGTTTGCTGCTCTTATCGATTGCGACGAGACTGGAATTGCCACCTCCTTATAACGTTTTTAACATACTTAAGAATTCTCCTAAGGTGATATCTCCTATATTGTCCTTTCTCCGTGAAAGCAATCTAATTATTTAATGAAAGTACTCTGGACTATATCTTAAATCTAATTAAGAGGAAGCAGCGTGGTTCGCGCCATTGTCAATAAAGGAAGAAGAAGAAGAAGACAAAAGCTTGAGACGTTCTTTTTATATCGTATTTTATTGTGATCGAGAGTTCTATAGATAGTATTAAAATATAATTGATCTTACGAAAATTTTAGTGTTACTAGAGATATTACATATAGCCGCCCAAACACTACGCGAAAAGATTTATTACGCGAGACATTTTTCTTACAGATAGTAGTATAATTATGTATCTTTTACATGCTACTTTTACATATACGAAATGTATTAAGTAGAAGCACATTTATGTATCATATACATAAATTAATTACATATCAATGATACTTTTCAGATACTTTCTGGTTATATAACACGAAGTATCAGTTACATGTGTGTTTACTGGGATACGTCACATAGCAGTAAATGAAAGAACTAACAATTTAGTTAAAAAAGATTTACAAAATAATTACTATAAATATTTATCTTCACATACCATAAATATTATATAAAATACGATATACACCTCCTTCTTCTCGGCCATAGAGCCAAACGCGACCCATACAGCACAGATTATTGCAATTATATTGCAGCAACGTTGCAATGTTGCAAGTTGCAATGCAACATTATAAAGACATTGCAGAGATATAAGTGCACACAATTCCAGCACACTTGTAGCAACATGACATTAATATTTCGGAAATATTGCATGTAATCCAAATTCTATAATTTATATATTGTAATAGATATAAATTAACTACAACGTATTTTCATTAATGATTTATTTACATTTATATACCTGCATATGCAACATTAGTTTATGGTTGCAATAACAATGCATTATTGCAAACTCATAACATATTGCAATATTGTTGTAATATTTTGTTGCAATCTTCCAAAAAGCGGACA